ATTAGTTATCTATGCTGTTTTAAATAATAGATTGATTATAAAATAAAATACAATTAAATATAAAATAAACATTTCTCTATCAATTAACATCACATATCCAACTAAAGGGTATGCTAACTTTTGAGCTTTGTTCTGGCCGTTTCAATGTAATAAGCTTAAGATTTTAATTACAAGTCGTGCTGGAATGCACTTATTATGAAGATGTCTACAGAGCCAGACAAATATATATATTTATCTAAATATAGAATATAAATGCATTTAATTGGCGAGCTAAAACGTTTTAAATTTGTGCGTTCTAATGTGTGGAGCCCAAAGGGATTAGGCCTTAGAAGACGAGCTACTCATTTAAGTTGCAGCTTATGACATTTGCAATTCGAGTTGCCACTTCAACTGGCTGCCCCTAATAAAATAACGCTTCAAATGTTGCACGTAATTGCCGTGTCCTTTTGCAGTTATGTCTAGTTATGTATGTCTGTGTCTGGCTAATTGCCGCAAGTATTCGTGTCCGGACTTGTATGCTTTTAATTGGCTCAGGGCTTTAAGCGGCGCATTTTCCTAGTAAAGCGAACCAACTGGAAGCCAGCAAGCCGTTGGCTGAGTAATCGAAAGTGCCTTAAAGTAAGCTCGCAGCTAAGTGTGTGTTGGAGATGGCAGCGTGACAAGAGAAAATATCGATAACTTTAATGTATTTATATACAAATATTTCTAAAGTCTTTTAGTGGTCTGAATATAGTCTTAAAAAATGTGGGCGTTTCAATACAGCCTGTGAACAGCAAATTCTATCAAAAGGATAATCGATTACGTTATCGATCAACGCTACAATTTAAACCAAAATTATAAAAATTACAAACTGAACGAATTACAAAATAAACAATTTGACAAGCAATAATCAAAATAATTGATAAATAGATAAATTTATCGATAATTGATTTTTTATTAAATTTGCATGACAATTTTATTGTATACTTTGGTCAAACTAAATAATTTGTAAATCGATAAATTCATAAATAAATTTTAGTTTCCTACTGTATTGTGTTTCATCCAATCGATACTCTTATCGATCAATTAAAGTATATTGATTGAATTTGTTATTGTAGCCGGTTGAGTTGCATTAATATTCCAAATTGTATTCCGTCAAGACCCAACACAAGGCGTCCATCCCCAGCTCAAACAGTATATTAATAAATGAGGACCAGCCACCGTTCCACATGGCGTATGAGTAACTAATGATGTTGCCCGGCTCGAAGGCGGCAGCTCTGCAATTATGTGCAACTAGCTGCAATGCATAAATTTTGTGCATAATTATTGAGCCGGAGGCAAAATCTAACTCAGAGCCAAAGCCACAGGCCCGACAAACCGGAGGAACCAGAGCAACTGAAGGAATCGACGTAGAGAAGCCAGAGAAGCAATCATTAATTATATGTGGCGCATAGGTCAATTTCTAATGGGTAGCTAGCAAGCCGGCAAGCAGTTGGTCGAAATATATTTGCACTGGGCACTCTCCGTTGACTCTGATGGCTAATAAACAGCCCAGACAACTCGATACCAATCCAATACACAATTAGCCTGATTGTTTAAATGCTGATTTTATTGCTGATTGAGCCAAAAGGAGGAAACCAATAATTGTTCAATTGTCTTACTACTGTTTAAGTGTCTGCTTTGAACCAAAATATATAGATATATATTAGAAGCTTATAATTGAATGTGGTACTTAAAGTATAACTATTATATGCGATATCATATTATGTACATCTACTGCAAATACTTTACATTAAGTGTTGCCAATGAAAACATTATTGAACTCATTAGCTTACATGATGCTTATCGAATGCTGAGTGTAACGCTTTTAAGCCATATTTATCGATTTTAGCTGAAATGTGGCAGAGTTTTTGTTAAACTTGAATAAATTTAGCTACTTATGGTATATTTCATATATATATATCTTAAGTTTTAGCTGCTAATGTCTCGTTATATAAGGCAATAAGCCTAAACGTTTGTCGATATTTATCGATTTTGGCTATTTATGGTATTTCATTGATAAACTTAAATAAAATTTAATAAATAAAGGCCTAAGATATTTGATACAGTATGTCGAAAGTGAGACTATAGATACCCTATGAACTCTGAGCTTATGGATTGTAGAGCATATATAGACTAAATATACCATAAGATCCTTGAGCTTATGGACTATTAGAAGAGCATGTTCAAAGAGTCTGTATAAACTATATATGCCCCATGAGCTCTGAGCTTATGGATTGCCTATTGCTGCTGTATAGAGCATGTATAGACTAAATATACCCTATGCTCTTTGAGCTTATGGGCTGTTAGGAGAACATGTATAAGCTATAAATACCCTATGAGCTCTGAGCTTCTTTAGTATTTTAGAACATATCAATACACTTTAGACACCCTCTGAGCTTCGAGCTAGCTACCTTTACCAGTTACAAACGATGCCATAATGCCAATATGCCCTCTTTATAGCTGGCGACGCTAAACAGCAAAACAATGGAAGTGCAAGCGCCTAACTAACCGAAGTTGAGCAGCTCAATCATATGTACTATACACATATATATCTATATATAGACACTCAAGCTGTAGTTACCGATTCTTGTTCATGTTGAGCAAACGAGCGACTGAACAATGCAAATAATTGTCAAACATTGCACAAAGGAGCATGAAAAGCCAAAAAAAGAAGAGAAAGCAAAAAGCAAAGAAAAAGTATGCCCACAATGGGGGAAGCGTATGATTTTTATAGCGCTGCCAACAGGCATTGTGCTAAGTTGTGGAAAATCGGAAAAACGCGCCAAGAAAACTGTGCGGCAAACTAAGAGGAAAACTTCGGTTGCTGCCCGCTGATTGTCTATGCTGTTGTCCCCTCCTAAAAGGCGCTTTAATCGCGTGCAAAAGCAAGTGAAAAAGGTGCACATTATATGCCCCGGTCGAGTGGGGAGGGGGGAGGAGCGATTCTTACGCTGTCATTGGCTTTGCACATTTGAATGAACGTTAAGCTGCGGGTTAGTCCCCTGATATCCTAGTGTCATTGTCGCATCCCCCTAGTGCCGTCTAACTACCCAACATGACAATGAAAGTCAATAAATTTGATTTGACATTTGCCTCAGCTTCCCGCCACTCGAGCAGCCTGCAGCCAACTGCCGCCCCCCAGTTTTGCCTGTGACAATTCCTTGCGCTGATTCAGCGCATTTGCCTTTTGCTTGTCGTCGGAGCTTCGAATGTAATTTTATTATCCCAGCCTGACAAAATGTCACACATTCAGTTTTTTAATGAGCAGCATCGTTGTGAAAAATGAAAAGACGAAGTGGGCTTCGGCTAGGCTAAGCCAGCTAGCGAGAAAGCCAACCATAGACACTTTCCATATTGAATTACTTTAAGGACTCTTCTGAGACATGAATCTGAGTGGTTTTTGAGTTGAAGAGGTAGCTAGAGATAAGCTAAGATAACTTATAGTTTGTCTAAGTGATCTTAAGCGAATTCCTTAACATAAACACCTCTTCCAAACCAAGAACAATTCTGGCTCAGCCTTAAGCTCTGTCACCTCGTGCAATTCACAGACTCAACCGTAGTCTGTTGCTGGCAGGCGTCTTGCCAAAATACAACTACTTTGACAATTTAACCAACACTACATCTATGTGGCACGCCTCATGCTAGCTGCTCCTTGCTCTCCATGCCCACTTTTTATGCGCCGACCTATCTTTCTATCGCTTGTTTCTGTCTGGTGACAGTTTTTTAAATGGCTGTTTCCTCTTCCGTTTCCGTTGCGTTTGACTTGCCTGCACGTAAATTGTGTGCCATTTCAGTCAGTCGGTTTCCGTTTTTATGGATACCCTGTACTAGTACTGCAAATGGGGCATACTGAATAGGCGGGACTAAGACTTAATGTGACTGCATTTAAGATACAATCTACAACTGTTTGCAGATTAAAGACTCTGTGCTTTGATCTACTTTTATTGATTATTTTCTCAATCGATAATTATCGATATATATTAAAGAGGGAGAATTAGAGCTTGCCTTAAAGCGTGCAGAGCAAGCCAGTGTAAAATTATAGATTTTCATAGCTCTGTGCAGGGTATCTCAGAGTCGTGCATAGCCGCCTACTATATGTTTTTACGCCTGTGACTTTTGTCGCTGATGTTGGCGGTAAATTTTACTACAATGCATTTATAATCTTTTTCACTTATCTTTGCATAGTTTCCTTTTGCGCTGGCAAAACTTTTTACGGTCTCAGGTTAAAAGTGGCATCATACATTTCCACAGAGAGAGCCTGCTGTCGACCCCTACCCGCTGCAACTACCCCTACCCTCGCCCTTACTCAACCCTTGCCATTGAGAACTAGTTCGTTGAAACGAATGAAAAGTTGCAAAAAGGTTGCGGCTGCAGTGCGAATGCAAACGCAATTTTCTGTTCAACACTCGAGTTTTTAACCTGTCGACAATCTTTTGACAGATTTATGAGTTAATTACGCGGCGCATAGGTGTTTTGCTAGAGATTCACTAAGAGAGACACCTGAGCACTGATTTATTTGAATTTGTTTTCTAGGCTGACAGCTCTTTGGTTTATTTATCACAAATATATGTATATATATATATATATATAAATTTATGTATATAAATATATAAAAATTAATTTAAAAAATATTTATACAAATTCTTAAGTAAATGTTTTATATTTTGTTTATAGCTTTAAAGTTGGAAGCGGTTTTTTTTTAACTTGTAAGTAAGCCGCAAGAACAATGGGCCAGCGCTTAGGCAGCGCTTAGGCATGTGTAGTAATCTAAGGTATAAAGTGTTTGAAGGTGGATATGAGAAGATCTGAGATTGATTTTGGATATGTCAAATATAGATTCGAGCCATGTTTACTCTATGTGAGAATCAAGAGATACAGATTAGATATATTATATTAGAGTTGGCCTTAGCATTGAAATCAGCTTGGCTTTACTCATTGACTGTACATAACTAGCTTAAGATCCATCGCTAAGTGCTACATCTAATTCCTTTTGCAGTTCTTTTCTAGCTTTGTTTTATTTTTATTCACATGTTTTGAGCATTTGATTTACCCATGGCTGATGACAAAAGGCAACAAAAATCAAAGCAGCCTCGCACATCTCCGTTGGGCCTCTCGCCCAAGGATTTGGCAAGCACTATACCCATGCTCCTGTGGAAACTAGGCGTGGCTCTGGGCTGCAATAGTGCCAAGTTGGAACATGGGAAAGCGTTCATCAAACCGGAAACTCGTATGAAAATCAAACTTAACGATTTTCGGCAACGCTTCAAGCAATTGCAGTCAACGGAGGATGTGCAAGAGCAACGTCTTCAAGAGCATCGCTATAAGCTCTTTCTGCATCTGTATCGGTTGCTGTTGCGCGTCGAGCCCAACGAAACGAAACGTCAGCAATATCTAGCATTTTGCTATCATCTTTTCGATGAGGAAAAGCCGCCGAAAATGCAGCTGGATGGCAAACTGAAATATCAGGAAGACTTGACGGAAACCCTCATTTCCTTAGCCCAAAAGGTGCTGCATCTAAATGAGAAGCAACTGCTCGTTGGAAGCTCGTCTAAAGTAAAAACTCACGACGTTTTTCAACTGAGTTTTTCCACTGGGCAATGTAAATTTGCAATAGTTCGCTGTCGGGTCAAGGGCTTGCGCTGGGAGCTGGCAGTCTGCGAGAAAAGTTATGGTCGATCGAATCGAAATACCATGGACGAACGGAGGCTGCTCAGAGATAAGGAATTGAAAGTCATTTTTAAGGCACACTCGAAGAGTCAGGTACAATCCTCAGATACAATGACTCACGAGGATCTCCATGCTCAGCTGCGAGGCTATTCAGATGTGCGGGAACTAAAAGCTGGTATGCCAAACCAATGTCTTTACATCTAACAGGGCTGAGGCGCTACAAAAAAATTTAAATCTTTTACAGCTGAGCAAAATGCGAATTCTTTGAGCCTCCCAAGGGATAGGTGTGAGGCGGGCACTCAGTTTATGGAGCCTGTTCAGACTGTTGCGATATTCCAAAACAGCAAGAGCATCAATGAGACCTCTGAGGTCGGCTGCCAGTTCACAGATCCCATTATATATGTGGTATCGAATAAGTCCCAACAAACGGAATCTTCGGCCACGCAGCTGGATCAAGGCGTTCAAACTTATCTGAATGCACGCAGTGCAGATATTGCGACAACTACCGATGATTTGACGATGACGAAGGCCGAGCTCTCGCCAACATCTATCGAGCTACATGGAACATTACCCACTGGATCGATAAGCACGCCAGAATCGATAGCAACAAATTATTCAGGCGATTGCAGGCAGAATACATCGTCACTGAACAGATTGCGACAACATTTCATACTGACAACATCTGAAGAGATACTGCCAGAAATCGTGTACAGGTCAATACCGGAAGAGCAAGCGAACGACAGCTCGAGAGTGCAGCATAAATCGATAAGCTCTTCGACACCGCCGCAAAAAAGTGCGCCACCAAACGAGGAATTTAAAGATTGGATTATCACGGAATCCGAAGAAATGTTGCCAGAAATCAATGAGACAATAATGCATCAACAGTTTGCACCGAGTGTGTTGATAACACAGGGCACCTTGCTGGCCTCTGAACCGAACCTTAGTGCGTATTCGTCGACAGAAAAATTCATTACGCAAGCTGATACAAAAATCGATCAGCCTCCAATATCAGTTGAACGAGAATCAACTCCTTTAATAAAATATTCAAAGGAAATGATTAGCGAGCCGATAACAGCGCAGCACTTGACACCTAAAGAGGCTTTAATACCAATCGATCACTCAGTCGATCTAACGTTGAACACTGAGAAAGCTTTAAAAAAGGACGTGCTATTGAACACAGAGCAAAAACCTCTTAACGATACTCTTGGCATGCTAGTGTTAACCACGGAAATGCTTGCGAAAATCCATAGCCAGCTGGATCAGCTGAAAATGATGCCGAATCGATCGATAGCAGAAGAATCGATAAATGTCAATTACGTAGAGCCATCTCTGCCTGCTTCAACCAAAAGGCAACAACAGCTGAAAACTGAGAAATCTATTAAACTGACGGCAGTTACCGACTCACCGATAAGTCACGAAGCGTTGAAGGCTGATAATGCATCGATAACACAGCCAGACAAGGCTCCAAATATGCAAGAGCTCGTAGATCCGCTTACGTCGAATACTGATTTACCGTTAAAAGGGACCCCAGTCATGTTGGCAAATAGCCAGGAAACTAAAGGAGAATCTAAGGCAAGTCATCTAGAAATCAATCTGTCGATAAATCCGCAAGATTTAATACTCGAAAGCCAATCTAATCAAACTTTGCCTTTGAAAGTTTCCCAGAGTTCCATGACTCAAGCCATGCCACAAGATAATGAGTTAGCCTCTGATAGACAGATCAGTGAGGAATACCCATTGTCCGACTCATACAAGTGGCCGACGGAACTGGAAACTGAAGAAAAGCCAAAGCAAACTTTGACAGCGATCAAGAAGCCGCTAAAGCACGATTACCGATCGATAACTTTAGATAGCTCGCAAAGATCGGAGCCATTCACTGATACACAGAGCGCAATATTTAAGAAAATCAAGAAATTCATAAGAATCGTGCAGCCAACAGATCAGCTGATGAGAGAGACAAGCGAGGACGGACGGACGGACAACCAACTAGAGACTACAGAAGACTCTGCGAAAATCGTGTCCGCAAGCCAAGAGTCGATACCCAATAACCAATCGATATCAAAAAGTGGATTTACATTTTTGAAAGTTTCCGAAAACGTCAACAGCCCAGACATTGCCACGTTAACAGCGGCCGCTCAGCCAGCGACTGCTGCTCTACCTAGATGGCAGCATCAGCGCCACGTCATAGCTGCATCGCACTTCATTATCAAGCAATTCAAATGCAATCCCGCCTATCAGTGCTCTCCTCTGCAGCCCGATGCGCCCGATTTCTATGAGCAGTGGAAGCAGTTCCATGAGATTGTGGCACCACAGGCCAACTCGACCATCAATGTCGCTGCTATCAAGAGGCGCCTCAAGACATATTTGCGCTGCGTGCGCAAGCAATATTTATACCAGCCGGCGCAGTGCATGGCAGCGGTCGGGAAGTGCCAGCTGCAGCAGCTGCTCACCAAGGAGGAGCTGCAGCAATACGAGACTCTGCGCTGGCAGCATCGCGATCGTGGCTTGGCCGTGGAGCTGTCACCGGAGGATCGACTGCGTGATGCGCTGCACGCCCTCCTGGGCTATGAGTGCCAGCAGCTGCGCGCCTCGGCGCTGGGTCCACGCCTGATGCTCCGTTCGCCACATCATCAGCAGAACATAAGTGAGTCCTACTTGCTGCTCGCCCTTGCCGAGGTGGGCTACTACTACAGATGCCTGCAGCAGCAGCAGGAGCAGCTGCAGCAACTCTGCGAATGTGGCCGTGCCCTGATGCCGTGCCTCATCGTCGAGCTGCACGAGTATTCGCGCTTCTATCAGCGCCAAATGGAGCAGCCAACAAGTCTCATTCAGTTGTTCTATCAGACGCGCTGCTACGTGCATCGCTTTCAGTGGCTGCTACAGCTGTGCGGTGGCCTGAGCCGTCAGCAGTCGCCGCTGCTGTATCTGCAACATCAGCTGGGCATAGGCAGCGCCGATTATGATATGCTGCTCAAGAACTGGTTACAAGCCGCCGCTGCGCCGCTGCTGACAAGGATTAGGAACTGGCTACAGCTCGGCGTGCTGCCGGCCACTGAGTTCTTCATTGTGGAACACGCTGAGTGTCCAGTGGAGCGCTACTGGCTGCAGCAATTTGAGCTGCTGCCACAGCAATTGCCGCACTTTCTAAGCATGCAGCTGGCCCAGCAGCTATGCTCAGCTGGCCGGAATCAACACTTCGCGCGTCAATTTCTGGGCAGCCAGCTGAGGCTGGCGACGCCGGCGACCGAGCTGGAGCAGCAGCTGACGGCGGCCTGTGTCAGCAGCTTTCGGGAGCTGGACGCGCAGCCGCTGGGCGAGCTAATGGGCACGCTGCAGCTGGATACATCGCGGCAGCTGTTCAGACAGCTGCAGCAGTTGCATCCCAGTCCCTTGGAGCTATTAAGTCGCCTACATCAATATTTGCTGCTAACGGACGTGGAGTTTGTGCGCGAGATGATTGAGCTGCTGGAGCCGGCATTGGAACAGCCCGTCGAGTGCTACAGCACCCGACAGCTCAACAACATGCTGGATCAGCTGCTGTGCGCGTTTAACAAGCCGCTCTATGTGGCCAAAGGGGACCAGCAGGGCACTCACTGCTGGTGCTGCTTTCTGTTGCGCTGGCATCAGCCGAATCACTGGAAAGCCCTGCTGGGTGAACGCCTCGGGCAGTACGAGTCGGGCTTTGCCTGCCTCTGGCAATTGCACTATGCGGACTATGTGCTCAACGAGCGCATTCGACGGCAACAGTCGCATTTTTGGGAGCGCATCAATTTGTGGCAATCGCCGGAGGCGCGACAGGTGAGGGATCGCTTCGATCAGTTCATCGATAGGCTGCAGGACTTTATGCTGAAGTTGCGCTGCTATATGCTCGAGAATGTGCTGGACAGCGCCTATGAGGAGCTCTCCCTGGGCTACAGTGCAGTGAAGACTCTGGACGAACTGCTGCAACGTCATGGCCTATATATGGATAGGATTCTGAAAGGGCTCTTGCTAAGCAGTGATTACTCCCGGCTGCGTCTGCTCTTGATGAGGCTCTATGAACTCATCTTCCAGCTGGATGTGATGCAGCAGAAGTTTCTATCGAACTGCCAGGTCTTCTCTGCGGTTGACATGTCGCAACGGCTGCAGGAGCAGCGCAGCTACTGTCAGAGCACCTGCCATGCCATACACGATCTGGAACAGGACTTTCAATTGGTTTTGGCCAACTTGTTGCTGGGCCTCTATAACACCAATGAGGCGCAGTTCTGCGCCTTGGCCAAGAAATTGGATCAAAGCGGGTATTACGAGCACCGTTACAAAGAATTGAAAATCGTGCACACTTTTCGCTATCAACGAAAATTCAAAATTCCAAAGAATCCTTAATTGGCAGACTCAGAAATCGAACATGAATCCTCAACAAATTTTATTTTTTACCTTTTATATATTATGTTTGAAATTTAGGCAATATTTCAAATCGTAATTTTTAATTTGTAATTTATTTCAGTGTATTTTAAAAAACGTGAATTAAATTTTTATATTTACTTACTAAAAAAATATATAAGAAAATTGTTTGAAAATATTTTTGGAATTTTTTGAAATCATATTTTTTATATTTTTATTAAATATTCAATATTTTTTATTAAAATATTAATGAAAAAATTAATCCTAACAATAATTTTTTATGTGTATTTATATATAATTATGTATAAAAATATGAAACTTCGTTTTATAAATTAGGTATAAAATTAAATTAATTTTTTACGTTATTTTTTTATGTTTAAAAATTGTATTTATAATAAACATAAATTATTAATTTAGTATTTTATTTCTTTTAGTATACTTTTAGTATTATTAAAAATACCCAATTTATTGCAATTAATTATTATATATAATTTTGTTTATAAAAATTACTATTTAACTTACTTTTAATACAATTTGCTGGGCATTAAATATTTTTACGCTGATGAACACCCAAAAAGCAATTGAAACAGCGAATATAAAAATTTCTGGTACTATTAAATTAATCCCCAATCCCTGAACACATTTTCGCTTTGAGGTGCTTCACAAATGGAAAAGACTTTCCATCGAAGTAATTCTGTAGCTGAATCAATTCATGCACATGATGCATGTCCGTTTCAAGGATTGACAATAGATTTAAGCAAAAAAATATTTTCATTTGGGAGCTGCAGAAAAAAGAAGATGAAGAAAATATGAGAAGCAGAAGCAGCTCAAGCTTTTCTCTCTGTCGTTTGGCGTTTTTGTGTGCACAAATTGGATTTTAATTGAAAATTAAGAATCGACTTAGCAATGTTTGAATTGTGCAGCTGCCTTTTGTTATGCTAATTTCTGGTGTGAATACAACTGAATACCGGAATGAATAGATGCAGACGGATAGATCCACGACTGTGTGTGTGAGTGTGGCGATGTGTGTGTGTGTGAGAGGCTTGTGTAAAATAAAGTAAATAATGGATAATTACTTTTTGTACCCTGCAAGGATTGAATGTGGGTTACTCTAATTGAAGGCAAGTGATTATAATGGCTTTTATGACCGTTGAAAGTACAGTCTTGCTCAGACAAAGTAGTTAAAGCTGTGATATATAAGAATATATTCGAGAGTCGCATTGGTAGTTAATCTAAATTTACTAAACGTATCCTGCTTACATTCCGATCTATTTATACCATCTTTCCTCATCTGTCTCTTAGCTTGTGTTTATGTATACACTTTTAATGACTCTTAATGACTTTTACTAATACCAACTTCATAATTTTATTGATATATATAATTTTAACATATTTAAAAATTATAATTTGGTATTAATATTATTTTTTGTGCATATCTCAAGAATTAAAAGAGCTCAGCTTATAAAATTTGGCATTTAATTTCTGACATATAATAGAAAGAATTATAAATAAACCTTTTTTCGATTGCTCTTTAGTGTCATACAAAAATTAAATGAATTTATAGAATAATTTTGAAGGACATTACTTTAAAATTGTAATAAATTCAATATTTATATATTTCTATATTTCACTTTCATAAAGATTTCAAAGCTGAAATTTAGCAAAGGGTATTTGCTAGTCTATCATTCAAGACTGCTTCACTTGTTGGCTTAAGCGTTGGCAAATTAATCCAAGTCCTGTTGCTGCTGCTGCTGCTGCTGCTGCTGCTGTTGCTGTTGCCTTCGTCTGCCAAAGTTCGTGTCAAATTTAATTACTTTAACAAATTTCAATTAAATCAAATTGAATAATTCCTTATTTTTTTATAACTTTTGCATAATTTAATTTTTGACAAAAATATGCACATGCTAAAATTAAATATATCTAATTGTAAAATCTGGCCAAAGGGAAATGCACAATGGCAAAGGCAGTGGCAGCGCCAAAGCCAACACACAAGACGAAAACTCTTTTTGTTATCTTGACAGGCGCAGCTGCTGATGCTGCTGAGGCTGCTGAGGCTGCTGAGACTGCTTAGACGTCTTCTGCCTCTCACACACACACTCAGTCAGGGATAAAATTGTGTAAAGCGGCAGCCTTTCAAAAAGAAATGTCAAGAGTAAGATAATGTGGCCCAGACCCAAAACATAACCGTCTAAATAGAGCGGGTCGACTTCTGACGCCTTCTGCCCTCTCTCTTTTGGCCATGTGTGCTTTGGACGGCAAAGCCAAACAATATACAAGTGAGTGACTTTTTATTCGCTGCTGATTTGAGAAAATTAATTTCATAGAAAATTCTTTTCCCAGCGCCTTTGTGTGTGTGCAAAATTATAATTATGTGAGCTGATTCTGAAAGACGTGCGCTTAATGCTCACACAAAGGCATTCCAATTTGATGAGCTCCTAAGTCGAGCATCTTATTAACTGACCTAATGAAGCCTGCTCTAATTGAGGTTTAGCACTTTTGAGTGCCTGAAACATATTTCACAGAAATATTTAATTTATTATTTATTTATTTAATAAAGTTTTTCAATTAACTTCACAATGTTGAATTATTGTTGGTATTCAAATTTATATTTTGTGCTTTCTGATTAGAAATTGGCTAAGCTGATTATGAGATTAAATTGTATGGAGCAGGCAGAGAAGCGTGTGAGTACGAGTATCTTCAGCTGTTGATCCTGTGCGTGTAGATCTATTATTCCGACTGTCCATCCAGCTGTTTATTTGTCTATCTGTATGTCTGCTTGTCCCTTCTTCTATCTATCAATCCATCTGTCTGCCTGTTCATACGTCTATCTGCTCTTCCATCTGTCTGTCATTCCGCCTTTAAATCCATCTTAGTATTTATAAAGAAGCTATACCACTAAGTCAAGTTTTGTCTTCAAGTTTACAATGACCTCTTAAAATAATTTAAAATCCAAGTCTTTTATTTGCCAGCTAATTTTGATCAAGCTGTAGGCTCATTAATGTTGAGTTTCAACTGAGCTGAAAATTAGCTAAATATGCATATATCCATTCTAATAAAAATGCTTGTCAAATTCTCATTAAGCTTACAATGAAGTTGAGCAAATAAACATATCAAAGTTGTTTGTTTGTCAACTGGAGCTAAGCCAACTTTGATCAAGCTTTAAGCTAAGCAAGCTAACCTAAGCAACTGCCTTATGCTCGCTTTCAATTGACTTCTATAAAGTTGATGTCAGCAGAAGTAACAGAAGAATTTAAATGCATGTCAAAATTGCCATGAAGTTTGCAATATGGTAAGGCTTAAAGCTATTTTTGTTGTGTGGTTTCAGCTGATATAAATACCCATAAGTCCATTGACATGCAAGTGCATGTCAAAATTGTCATGAAGTTTACAGTGAACTACCAAAGTAGACAAAGTTAAGTTTTTTATTTGCCAGCTCAATTTGTTCAAACTATAAACTCATTTGGCCAACTGTCCAATAAGTTCAAGCTATTTATCTAGATAAATATATAATTTAGATATAATTAAATTTTGCTTAATTGCCGTCAATGTTCGCACTGGACGCCCAAGCGCTGGGCAATTGTGCGCAATGCCAAATTAAATAGTAAAATTTATTATTATGACCATGACATATGAGTGCTTGATCTGTGCGAGCCATAAATTTGAGCTGCAGTGCGCTGGCCGTTTAACATTTTGCCATTGTTATTGACAATTTGTTGTCAGTATTTTTTTTGTTGTCCTTTTCAGAAGGATACAATTTATGTGAGGGTCGGGAAGAGTGGGGAGGGGGCGTTTGGTCTTTATGAAATACTTCTCATTATTGCTGTGAGTGTAGCGCGCAGCCTGGGCAAACATATTTGAACTATTTTCATTTCAATTGCAAACACACACAAACACACACACACACACATGTGTGTGTGCTGAAAATCAATTGAATTGCCATTTCACATATGAAATGGTCATTTGTCAATGGACACACACACACACACTTGGCCAACAATTGATAGGGGGCGTGGCTGGGTCTGACTCTGGTTACTGCGGTCAGTCAAAATGGCCGCATAAATATGTCGTTCGACCATTGGTCGCAACGTCCACTTGTCGCTAAATTGCTGGTCGTTATTAAATTTCCGCTGCGTTGAGTTCTCATTTCCGTTTGAATGGGCTGCGCAGCTGGCAGCTCCAAAATGTGCGACGGATGTTGCCACAGTCATAGATACCGTTAGCTGACCATAAACAATGCTGCCTAGTCAACAACAGCAACAGCAGCAACAACAAATGAATGCGAGAAAGCAAGCCACAAAAATTTAAGTCTGAGTGCGCCAAGCGGGTATGCCCGACTTGTGTGTGAGCTTTGAGCTGTTAGAGGCATCATTGCATGCAGTGTCTTAAGTATGTAACTAATTTACAGCTATATCTGTCCTTGTCTCTTCTTTACTCCCAGTGGCAAGCGAATAACTAAATACGAAACGAACTGTTTCAGTCTCAGGAATAGGAATTTGTGTAAGCTTATCTAACACTCTACCTCTTATATAAAAAGGATTTGCTTATCTTCTTCTTATATACCCTATTGCATATCTGTATTTTCGAGCTAAGTCTTAAAAGTAAATCTTGAATTTGAATTTTGATTGAATAAAACTTTAAAAAAATTATTTTTACTCTGCAAGATTTTTTATATCATATTTGATATCTTTGACTATAAAAGTTCTTGACTTATGATTATAAAAAGGTTTGAGTTGACTTAAAAAAAAATATTGAGTAAATAATGCTGACCCTATATACTCTGCTCTATATAAAATTGACTAAATAGAATAAAATATAAGTAAGATCTAATATGAAGTCTTTAGCTTAGATAAACGGATATATAGAAGAATGGATTATTGAATGCTTAGAATGATAGATACATGGATGGCCGAATACGTGTATGGACGAAAAGCGGAAAAGATAACGTAGCTATTGATGGATGAGTAGATGTTTATTGAGATAGAGGAATAGATAGGTAGGTACAGTCAGATAGG